TACATATTTAATACCCAAACTATTATATTTACTAATATATCACTTAAAACCCTCATTTTTCATCTATTATAACACTCTGTTAAGCCCTCATTAGAAATCCTTATGCGTCTCACGTCTCCCGTTCAGTCGTGCATGACGGGACTCTCTTGTTCATTTGCGCATGAAGGATCTTCTTCCCCATCTAAACATGTCGCCTTCTCCTTTGATTTCTTGTCTTTCGTTCAAGCGACTGTCTTCCATTCGCCTTCTCTAATAAGACCCTGATTTCATTTTGAAACAACTCCACGAACCTTGTTGGTCTCAATTTATTTGCTTTTTTCACTTTGTCAAATTTTTTTTAACTCGTGTATTATTTGCGTACACATAAATTGAATCTAGTAATTTTTACTTCATAAACCTCAAATGGATATTGGAGTCAGGTGTGGGGTCAGGTCGAATGAAGTATGAGCATGGAAGTCAAAAAACCTTAAAGCTTCAAAGAGATGAAATCACTTTGTTGTTGCTAAAAGAACGAGTTGAAGCACTTTGTCATTGGCTAAGGGGTTAAGCTTTCAACTTACAATATCATGTCAATGGAACATCACCTAAGAATTACATGTTGGTCTCAACCTATTCAAATTTAGTTGACATGCTTAGTAGCTCTTATGAAAGGAATATAATTGAGGTGGTGGTTGCAATGAAATATCACTAGGAAGATATGTCTCAAGCACGAAATAGTCAAACTGTAATAGAGAACCAGTTAACTGAAATGCATCAATATGATATTATAGTAGATGATCTATGCGACAATTTCTTTATACCCCAAACTAATGACACAATTACTCTATTTGTTTGTTCTCAATTTGAGGATTCTCAAAGTTTTAAACAAGCAGTTATATCTAATGTAATTTTATAGAATTTTGCTATAAAGATAAACCCTAGTGACAAATCTAGAGTAGTTGATACTTGCACATACATAGGTTATCCATGGAGAGTACATGCCTCATTGTGTCCTGAGCCTATCAATTTCTAAAGAAGAAATACGACAAGAAACAATACATCTGATTCCCCAAAATACAAAGCAATCTCCATTTTGATATAAAGTCACTTTATTCTTCAAGCAATAAATTTGAGCCCCATATCAACTCATCCAGTCCATACCAAAAATGACATTAAATGTAAAAAATATTTAATAAAATTAAACCAGATCTCCGAACTCTATCAAAAAATGCCAAATCACAAAAATAAACCCTACTAGCTATCATTCCATCTTCCGTGAGTACAAACACAGACAAAGAAACAAGTAATAAAACAGAAAGAAAACCGAGAGAATCAAAATACTGCTCTGACATGAATAAATGGTTAGCACTAGAATATAATAAAATACATTTTGAAGATGCAAAAAATATAAGCCATACATATTATAAAATATGGAGACTCTCTAACCTTTTACTATGTCAGACTGTAAACTCATGGATGTATTCGAGTCAAAATAATAAAGCTACCTGCACCCCATGAACCCCCAGAAGGCTGGCATCATAATATTGAACCAACATCCTAGCTACCAGAAGCCTCATAAATGTTGAGGTTATGTTTCCCTCAGCTTACCAAAGGTCAACTGCTTAGAGCCTCTAAAATTAGAATGTGTATCAAAGCTACCCTGTTGACACTTAGCAATCATATGTCCAAATTAACCACATTGAAAACACTTGCCTGATGCATTGTAACATTAACCACTGTGCCTCATACCACATTGCTGACATAATCGGGCCTCACTTAGTGAACCCCCAAATTTAGCAACACTACATATATCTAGCCCATAAGAAATTATTATTGATTGACCTCTCATTCTAAACTCATTAGGCTCAAAACTACTCTTCGTCCTAGAATGGCTATTACCAGTGGTCTCACTACCAAATCTCTTCATTCTCCCATTCTATTAATTTGCATTGCTACCATAGTCGTCTCCATCCTCTTGACCCTCTTGACTAACTAAGCAAAATCTATAATATTTTGTACCAATAATGAAAGTTCGTTAGGGATGTTAAGCCCTTATGAACTTAGTCTCAAGCTAACAAAGAGGGGGGGTGAATTGGTATTTTAAAGAATTTCTTTTCACAAAGAGTAAAAACACATAAACCA